TCGAGACGCGTCCCAAGACGCGCCGATTGAGTTTCGAGAAACTCGTTTCCCTGTTACCCTTTTCAGGGATTTTCATGACTGTTGTCAAAGTCGGCGGGAAAATTCCGCACAACTACAGTGAAACTTGTTTTAATTATACTGTATTTATTTATTTGAATCAATATTTCATTAAATAGGGTTGTTATTTCTTGGTGGTTAACAATTCTTGCCAAAATACAATCGGGTTGGTTTTTGAACATATACTGTAGTATCGTTTATGAAAAATAAAAAGTGTGTGGTATTAAATAAATACAGTACTGTACAGTACTTCCAAAAATTAATTTTGAGTGTATTGAATAAAAAGTTGCCTTATTCACCGAGCTCTAGAAAGTGTTGTTGGATCTATTGAGGTTGTGTAAAAATATAGGCGATAAATTTGAGATTTACAGTTGTATTTCGAATTCTGATTTGACAAATTTTTTCCTGAAATCTCACCTCTTCATAATTTCCGTTAGCTTTCCGTCAGCGAAAAAAAAAAGCTCCTGGCTCGTCATTCAGAAACATTCACCTCAGAAAATAAGTTTGTCGAACCTGGGTTCACTGAAACCCGGCGGGTCGGCTCAACAGCATTGTTTCTTCTTCTTCTTCTTCTGGTTCTTCTTCCCCCATCTGACGACAGTTGGAGTAATAAAAAAAAAAAAGAGAATGATGAGAAAACTTGAAACAGGGCCGCGTGTGGCAGCACATCCACACAGAGGATGTCGACAGTCGACCCCGTCTTGGTTTTTTTTTTTTTACATTGTGTTCATGTATTTTTATTCTTTTTTTTTATTCTTCGAAGTATCATCTCACTATACTTGCTCCCGTGTGCGCGGGTTCCCTTTGAGCGAAAGAGATCACTGATGCGACCCAGTTGGCGGGTTCCGACAGTCAGCCGGCTCCAACGCGGGTTCTGTTTACCCGCGGGTCGTCGTCATTAATTCCCGGGTCTCATAAGTGGGCAATCTAGGAGACGTTTGGGCGTTAATTGCCTAAGCAATTTCCCCCAGCAGGAAGTGTTTGTACAGCGTAGGAAGAACCCCGTCGTATTTACGAACTGTTACACAATCAAGAAAAACAAAGCTGGGGAGTGTGCTTGGAAATTTGTTGCATTTGAAAATTTGCGCAAAAAAGTTTTGATGTGGCTTGCCTTCATTATTGCTGCTCGGAAAAATTAAATTTTTCTCACAAGACGAGTTCTAAAAAATAAAATAGAATAAATCCGTTTTTGGGTTGAGCCGCCTTTTTTGGATGATTTTTTTGGATCTGATTTTGCAAATTTCTCCTCAAATCTTAATGCATTTTCTAAATTTTTTTGCGTTCAGAGAAGAATGTTTTCTACCTTTGACATTTCAATTTATTTTAAAAATCTAAAAATGAAAATCATTACACTAGTACTTCTGTATTTTCGAGACATGTTTTCGGAAACAACATTTTGACAGAACAATTTCTTGGAAATCAAGGTGGGTTCGCCATAATGTTTTTTTCCAATTCAAACAGTGTCAACTTTTTTCTGTATTTTCACGATTGAATATACTGTACCAAATTTCGGCCAAGATTGAACAAACATTCATTGAATTTAAAAGTTAAAGATATAGGACTATTCTTCAAACCCAAATTCTGTCTGCTGCTGGCGAAACCCGGCTTTCTTGAAACGCTGACTTTTCATTTATGTTTTTGATTCTTTCCAATCCAAAATTCCTTGCGAATATCTTTATTTTGTTGGGAAAAAGCGCTGGAAGATTCATCCGGAGAGAATAGCCCATATGCACCTGTATACAAAATTTAAAAGAACCTTCCACCATATCAGGATAAAAGAAAAAATATTTGATTGCTGAAAAAAAGGCACAGGCAGGAACAAAAAAATAAGAAAGAGAACATATTAATAATGATCAAATGTTTTCTATGAAAGATATTGGTACATGTGTTACCTTGAAAACTGACCATCATCCTGCAATTCAACAGTCAAATTTTCATGGAGGTTGACTTGCAATACAACAATAACCCATATGCTCCTGTATAAAAAAAATTTAAAAGAACCTTCCAACATATCAGGATAAAAGAAAATATTATTTGATACCTGAAAAAAATGCACAGGCAGGAACAAAAAATAAGAAAGAGAACATGTTAATAATGATCAAATGTTTTCTATGAAAGATATTGGTACATGTATTACCTTGCAAACTGACCATCATCCTGCAATTCAACAGTCAAATTTTCATGGAGGTTGATATGCAATACAACCCTTGCCCTGCAATTTGACCTTTAGCGTTTTTGCACTGATATTTTTGAATGACCTGAAGTGTCTCAAAATTCAACCACTTTGCAATTCAACCCTAATTCAGCAACAGATTAGAGTCAAATTGTGAGGTATCACCTGTAGCAACCACACTGGAAACATAAGGTAACCATATGCCACAAAAATGCATTTGTCTCCTCTGATGTACAGTACATCCCTTTGTTGTGACTACTGACTTCAAAACCAATCTCAAAGAATGTGTTTAATAATGATGTCAAGTATGTTTTAAAATTTAAAAAACCAGATAAAAAAGAATGCAAAGGTAAGATATTAAATTTAAAGCTGAGCTGAATTTTCTAGAAATACTCCATCATATAGAAGACCAATTTTTCCTTAGATTTTCAGGATGTTCTGAAAGCTACAAATATATAATTACCTGCTCACATAAGTATTGTATTAATTATTGTCCTTTGTGTTTTTTTTTTTTTACAATTTGAATTCAATGGAAATGAATAAATTTACGATAGGTGAATATTTGCCACTTCAGCTATGTTCAACGGAAGACTCAGACAATTTTATTTATAGTTCGAATATCCATTTTTCCACCCAGCAAAATCTCATTTTTCTTGAGAATGGGAGGGGATTGAAAAGCGGAAGAGAACGTTGACCCAGAAACGTAGTCGAAAGGAACGCTCGCGCACAATTTTATTTTTGCGTGCAGATTCCACATCAGTCACTGTCGTCTTCCAACTCGTCGTCGTCCATCTATTTCGACGCAAACATTTTTTCTTTCTTCAGAAATGCGAGGATTTTTTTCACCTTTGGATGACTGTAGACACTTTTGTTACCTTTTGAACCTCGGAAGACACGAGGAACTGGGGCGAATGACTCGCTTACGTCTGTTGACCTGCTTATTGTTTATAGAAAAGAAAAACAGGTAAATGTTCTGGAATTTTAAAGTCCTGCTACAATTGAAAGTCTCGAACGATGAAAACTTATATTTTCACCTATTTTCTGTCACCCCTTCATTTAAATGTTTTAGAAAAGTCGAAAACTGGATTTATAATTTCTATCACTCAATGGCCCTAAATGACATGGAGTAAGTCAAGGTGAAATAGAGCAAAAAAGAACGAAGGATAAGTAATGAAGAAGATTCGTACATTTGAATTGGAGAATATGTATCGACGAGAATGAAACTTTTCCCATTTTTGGTCGTACAAATAAATTTTTAATTGCGGAAACCTGATTGCTTTGGAAGAGGCCCATTTTTGCATAATTCTGCCGGGAAACTACGTTCATTTTTGTGATACAGTATTTGTCTAATAAGGCTAGAAACAAAACAATTTAAATGTTAATCTTTGATGAAAAACTGATTCCGTATTATTGCTTTTGTTGTTGCAGTTCTTGTTCAATATGGGTCCAAGAAAATTTATTGCCACATTTTCACCAATATTGTTTTTTTAATGTCCATCAAAAGTAAATAATTTTCAAAACTATATATATTGTCCTTTTTATTTTCAGAGGCAGGCCATTGGAATTGAATTGAAATTGAACAGCAGGCTTCATTTTCTGCTTTTCAACATTTGCAATAAGGTTCAAGCAATGTTCCCACGCCCAAACCCCTCCCCTCACCACCCACATTCAATCAGATACATTCCATCACATAAAAATGGAAGACTGAAAAATAAGCTGTACATGGATATTGAAAGAAAAGAAAATACATCCAAAAATGTACAATTGCACAACTGATGTAAATACATACACTTTCTTCCTTTCCCTGATAAAAAATATCAGTATAATGAGAGTTGTAGCAGCATAAGGCAATTACTGAGCCCAAGTTGACAAACAAGGCATTCAGCCTGCTCCCAGATAAGGTTCAGTTGATTAAACAATTTGGAGATAATCTCTGATGAGAAATCATATAAGGTTAACAGTTTATCTTGGTCTTACAAGATTTTGGTACCTGTCTTTTCATTGAATTTAAAGAGTCCCAAATCTTTTTGAAGCTTATTTCTGTAGCTATAGAATACTGGTCATAAGAAAAGAAGGTTCTCTGGTGATTCATCAACCAATGTATTCATGGTGCACAAATTACACCAGGTAGACACCCTTGAAAATTTATCGATGAATTCTTTCTTAAATTGCCATAAACTTGTCAAAAGAGCTTTGGTATCCTGTAACATCAAGGATCTATTTGGCAGTGGAGATGAAGTGGTAATTGTAACACAATTCCACCATACTGACTGTTATAAATTTGCATCATTAACCCTTGGACAGCGGAGGGTTCATTTCCATTATGAGGCAAAGTTGGGATATTTTTGGTGGGTGGAGCATTTCAGTTCAACCCAAGGTTGCTGAAATGCTCCCAGGTTGAGAAGGCCTAAGTCGGGAAAAATTTGGGAGACAAATTCTCTTTTGTTTTCAGGAATCTTACATGCTGATCCTATACCAGGAATGCAGGAAAAAATGCCACCCAGGGAGGGATTTTTTTATTTTTCATCCAAATTTTTCTGATGGATTAGAAAAAAATGTTGGATTTTTTTTCCTTCTCAGGCCTTTGTACAAAAGTTATATATTTTTTAATTCCCATGTTCTCAGTGACAGGAAATTTTGCAAATATATCCCAACTTCGCCACACAAGGGTTAAATAATTTTCCAAATTTCATTATTTATATACATTTCCAGGTGGACTGTTTGATAGTGGAGATGAAGCAGTGGCAATTGCTTTCCACAATGCCATCGAACGCATCAACGCCAACAAAAGCGTCACCGGTGATTCCAAGTTGCGCAATTTGTCCTTCAACGTACCTCGACACGATTCTTTCACTGCATCTAAAAAAGGTTACAGTTTGATTATTTTCTATTTATTTCGACACGCAGCAACACTTTCAAATACTGTACCGGCTGTTTTCGAAAGGTTCGATATGCTTTTCCATTGCTGGTACCAAAATTTCAATTTCTGTCTGTTGGTCAGCAACAAATTTCTTTGTTTCCTTCCTCTTTCTCTCTTACTCTGTGCGTAAAAATGAACTTTAAAACAAAACATCCTGTTTTTCCTAAATATGTTTTTAAAATTTTAAATTGCGGTTAAGGAAGTAATTTGTTTTCTATACAAAGTACATTCGAGCAGTGAAAACCCGGTTAATTTACGTTTTTATTTTTTTCATAAAATCAAATAAATGTTTATTCAAAGGTGGAACGAATTTTCAAGCGTAGCTTTTTAAAATTTTGAAGATCAGACGAAAACTTGAGCACTTGGAATTCTGAAGAAATTTAATTGCACATTAATTTGAGTCTAAATTCAAATTTTGAAACTTTCTTCAACTCGTTTAAATATTTTTGCTTGGAAAACTGTCCACTTTTTTTGTCGAAAAGTTCAGATTCGTGGATTCTTTGACATCGATTCTTGGGTCCTTCTCTATATAGGGCCACCAAAGAAAATTTTTTCCGCATAAAAGCTAGATTTTATCGGATCAAAACTGTTTTCAGTACTGCGTTCATCAAAATGAATGTTTATTTTTCGGTCAGGTCAACTTGTAAGTTGATTTAGGTCATGTTTACTTGTGCTTATCTTCAAAAATATGGACAAGTTTGGATCGATTTTCTGGGCTAATTTTATTCATCATTTCTTTAAGCCCGGAAAAATTCAGGATCCCTTGAATATAAATTTGTTTAAAGTCGCACTCATATATAAACACAATTACTGTATTATAATGGAAACCCCACCAGAAAATTATCACAACTTTTCAGAGTTGAAGACATTTCAAAACATTTGATTTTTCACTCGAGTTCAGTGTGGACAATTTTTTTCTACTTTTTTTGACCATCTCTCAAAATAAATTAAGAGTCATCTATGCTAAATTTAATAAAAATTTGCAGAAAATTCCGCTCGTCTTTTCGCATGAACCCTCGAAATGAGAAAGAAGTATAAAAATAACCATGTCGCACATGAAGGAATATTTTTTACCATTTTTTTTTTTTCGCCCATCATCACGTTTCAGTGTGCGAAATGGTGCAAAGAAGCGTCGCAGGAATTTTCGGGCCTCGGAGCGGCACTTCGGCGTCCCACGTTCAAAGTATGTGCGACGCCCTGGGGATCCCCCACGTGGAGATCCGCTGGGATCACCGAGAGACCCGAGACGAACTATCCGTGAATTTGTATCCACATCCGGAATCCCTGGGAAAAGTGAGACTGGGCTTCTAGAATGTTTCATAAATGTAAAAAAAAAAAAAAAAAACGGTGATTAAAACTTGTTTGAAAACCATTCGGTTTCAATTCAACACAAACACTGCATTGATAGTTTTTCATAATTTTTAAAGATTTTTTCAGAGTTTCCCGCAAAACGTCGAAGAGAGTGTTTCAAAATGTAAATTCAAACAAATTTCCAGATTCTGTACAATGGATTGTTTATACTCTTTATAGAAAGGGTTTCAAAATGTGAATTCAAGCAAATTTCCAGATTCTGTATACCATGGAATATTTTTAGAAAGTTTGTCGAATTGTGATTTCAAACAAATTACCAGATTCTGTACCATGGGTTGTTTAAATACAAAGTTTTTCCAAATGTGAATTCAAACAAATTCCAGATTCTGTACCATGGATTCTTTATAAAAAAAAAAGTGTTTAAAAATGTGAATTTAAACAAATTTCCAGATTCTGAACAAGGGATTTTTTGCTAGCTTTTCCAGTGGTTTTCATCTTATTTACAGTTCAATTTCCATGAGTCAGAGAGAATTCTCCATCTTTTCAGGTTTCTAATTTCTTTTCTTCCTGGTTTGCAAATCATCCCTTTATTACTTTCTGCCCAGGCATTCAGGGATGTTCTGGAAACTCTGAGATGGCACAGATTCACCATCCTTTATTCGGATAACGAAGGACTTTTCAGGCTGCAAGAAATCCTGAAAATTCGCCCACCTCCTGACAAGGAATTGAAGTTGACAATCCGGCAGCTCATACCCGACGAAGACAACCGGTACGTTTTCGATTGACCTAAAGGTGGAGTTGCACTAGATTACCGTATTGGACCAAAGCGAAGTTATTTGTCTTCCTCTCAAAATACAATGGATTCTTGTTATAATAGCGAATAATTGCTCACAAAGAAATCATTGCTTCAAAGAAAGAAAGAATCAATCAAAGAAAGAAATACTAGGTTCCTGTCAATGTGCATATTGCCCAATGACCAGCATGTTGAATGAGTTATTACTTTATTATTGTGGGTATACGTTATATTGAAGCTATGCTGAGGGTTGTTTCATAAGTTTTGAGACTTTTTGACAAAGATCCAATGAAGTTTAAAACATTCTGAAGGAAACTTTTACTCACATATAGCCCCATCATTTGGTAACACTTCAGCAGTGTTGAATTTACTCTCCAACAATTTTAATGATTTTTTCATGCAATAAGTTCATCAACCATCATAACAGTGCCACAAATCGGTTGGGGAACACTGGTTCAAATTGTCCTGAAGTTGAATCTGCATGATTTAAAAATATTTCGTCATTCATCAGGCCCCTTTTGAAAGCTTTAAAGAAAGCCGGAGAGACTCACATTGTGCTGGATTGTCCAGTGGAGAAGATTTACTCAATTCTTGAACAAGCCCTCCAAGTTGGAATGTTGACCGAGTACCACAACTACTTCATCACCAGTTTGGCAAGTCATTAAGAATTATAAGCATTAAAATATTCTTCGATTTGACGGCGATGAGGGATATATTTTTAATTTTCGTTTAAATGTTTTCCTTTCCAGGATTTCCACGCAGTCGAAACGAGGCTGTTCAAAGACAGTGGCACGAATATAACTGGCCTGTCAATCGTGGATATTGAAAGCAACGAATACAGTGAAGTGATTGGCAGAGATTGGGGTGAAAGCAGATCCGGGGCTTTTCCGTTTGCAGACGACAACAACGACTTTGTGCACTTCAGTAAAGCTGCTGAAGCAAACTACGATGCTTTTATTCAAGAAGCTCGAATTGCGCCCAGAACATTGATGGTGAATCATTGTTTATTGCTGTTTTTGTAAAAACAAAAATTATAGAAATAATGCGTGGTTAGTTTGTATTTTTGTTGTCATAATGACGGCACAAGGGTGTACTTTTTAAACTCTTATATCCAGTGACATTAGTTAGATCAGTGTTGCCCAACAAGTGGACCGGCGTCGGTCCGGAGAAGTTTTCTGCCTGTCCGCAGGAAATTTGCAGCATAATAAATTCAGGAGAAATAGGGATGAAGTCTGTTATTTTCATCTACAATTTCAAGGAAACAGTGGCAGTTAAAATTATTTAATGAAAAACATAAGTTTTAGGGCAATATATATGGTACATGTTGGAAAAAATGTTGGCAAGCCAATAATTCAGCTCCAGAACAGTAATTCTTCTTCCTTAATCCCTCAAAAAATTTCCTAGCTTCTGCTGGAACCTGTGAACCAAACAGGAGTTTGGTTTCCAGGCCTAGCAAGGACATTTCTGAATAAACTATTATCATTTTCCATCCCTTGTCATTCAACTTTTCTTTTCCTGATTCCAAAATACTCTTTGATTAAAACCGTGAGTGGACTTCTTGCCGGAGCTCACATGTGAGCTGCCGAATTTACGCTGCTCCCCCTTCCCCCTGCCTCACTCCCTGAACCCATCACTCTCTCTATGGAGAAAAATCATGAGAGACTTCAGAAGGCCTGTTTGAATAGGTATAAATAGTGTAGTAGGAGAAGTACTATCAACTAATATAATTAATATTCATTT